TGCCAAGTAGGAAGGGAGGGACCCTCCATTTCTTCCCACAATAAGCATAGCTGATGTGGAATTAATCTTAATTTGTGGCCTTAATTTGCCAGGAGATGTAGTGGCAGCAGTGACATTATAATTTTAATGAACCGTCATTTAATTATACATAACATCCACGATGCATCCATCCACTTATCGTTCTAGACTTCTAGTGGTTAAATTGCTGGTTATTCCTTTTGTTATGTAACCATGCATCTTTGAACATACAAGATAACACCAGTTTAATAACTCACTGGTACTCTTAACATATATAATTAGAGCAGTACTCCCAATAATATATATATATATATGTATATATATATATGCGCAGCCTCTATCCAGTATACCACCAGACCATCAATTAATTAACCTAATATACATACATATATATATATATATATATATTATTTAGTGTTTGGTTGTTTTTTGTTTTCCAGTCATGTCTTCCATTGGCGCTAGTTAGCTTTGTTGTTGGGGTTTGTTTGATGCACAAGACATAGTACCGGTACCACTCAAGAGACCAAAGTCACGGTAGCAAGTGGTTTGGTTTGGGGGAATACTGAATATTAGATCTCATCGACTGCAGGTATCAAACTGGGCAAACTGGCTGGTATAGATGTATGATTCGGCGAATGGGTCGATGGAGGTGAGGATTAATCGATTATCTTATATTGACTATACATGCTGGCATATATGGAAATCAAGGTGTGACTTCCAATTCAACAATCAAACTATCTACCCAAGAAGGGTTATTGATGCTATTTCCCATTCGGTCTCTGCCTTTAAAGAAACAATTTCAAGACCGAGCACCACGTCTTTGCCCAGTCCAATGAGTAAGGAAGATGGAGTCCATTGGTCTCCACCGAATCAAGGAGCTGTCAATATTAATGTGGACGCCTGCTGGGTGGCAAGCGATAGGAGGGGATTCACGGGAGTGGTGACGAGGGATGAGGATGGTCGTTTCTTGACACCTTCTCGGCACCAAGTCAAGGCTACTGGTGTTGCAATGGCGGAGGCAATGGCTATTTGGCATGGGTGTAAGTTGGGGGTCAGTAAAGGATGGAATTCGATAATTGTTGCATCGGACTCCTTGGAATCAATTTCTTTCCTGAGGGATTTGGCAAGGAAGGGCAGTTGGGATGCTTTTCCCATTCTCAGGAAGTGTAGCATTTTGGGAATGGCTTTTCAAGAGTGCCACTGGTCTTGGGTTCCAAGGTTGGCCAACTCGGCTGCGAACCATTTGGCTTCGCGGCAATGTAGGGAAGTACGTGATCATATTTGGGTCGATAGACCTCCATCTTCCCTGGTTCATGTTTTGTGTAACGATGGTCTTCCATGCCCCCCTTAAATGTATCTGGTAGTGTGAGAAGGGACGCTATAGAATTAGATGTGGCGTCATGGTTTCCTTGTACCTTCTTGCACTACTCTTCTTTAGTAGTTGCTTCTATTTGTTTGCCTCTTTGTAGGCCTTCCTGTAACCTTATGGCATCTTTGCCCAGATAATGCAACTCCAGTTACCCAAAAATAAAAAAAAGTCATTGTAGGAATAAGATCCATCCAGGAAATATTCAGGCCTTGATGGAATACTAGTTCTGTATGTAGAGTAGAGGCGGCCATAATTAGTTAAGCTTTATTTTCATGCCCTGATCCCGAGATACATTCAAGATCGACACGTGACGTCACTATGTAACTGTTCATCTATCATGCCTCGCCTCCTAGGCATGATCCAAAACACAATCAAAGGTTCCACTATGCAATAATTCTCTTTTATTTCATGGCTGCATCTAACCTTTCGTTAGATGCCTACATACCCAAAGCAGGGATCAGGCCATTCATAGTTCACTCATTATGTTACACTCTGAATTTTTGTCAAGTAATTAACTAGTAAGAACATAGAGTTCCATAATCACTCAATGGAAACAACAAGCATGCCTCACAAGATTTTAGTCTATGCAACGAAACCATATGAGAACCAAGAATGTCGTTTCATTAATCGGCTATATCACACTATTTTCCAACAACAATCCACAATCACAACAAATAGTCCATTCAATGACTTAACGATGCACAATATTAACATTTAACTACATTAATCAACTAATAAGATCAAATTTCACGAAATTTAATAGGGAAACTCTGTAATTCCCTACCTAACTTTCAAGCAATAGCATTGATTGCTTCCGCTTCTTCAGCTCTAGGGTTGGAGAAACTTTGGACCTGAATGAGTGAGTCCTTTTGTGGTGATTTGCAGGAATTCGCATTTGCCCAAGTGATTAATTATGGCCGACATACTCCGATGTCTTTCAACTCGCTACTGAACTGCAAATTAGGAGAATGGATGGTCCTAACCCTAGCTCCTTCTATATCCCCCTCTTAATTTCTGTCAGCTACCAGAATGTCCTTAAACCAATCTGCGTCTTGCCAAGGGACGTCGAAGATGTATGATTCCCAGACAAGGTTAGGTCTGGCTATAAAATAGTAGTGGTTGTCGAAGCCCCTCCATATGTTGTGCAGAACTTTGAATTCTTGAATACCCAGCTCGGCTCCATACCATTGATTTAACAATTCAAAGCAGGCTATCTGTCTGAAGGCAACCGGGGAAAGATTGCAGATGGCCATGTTCTAACATAATAGAATGCCTTTCAAGAAGTTAAAAAGAGGAAAACGTAAGGCTAAGTCCAAAAACCAAGGATAAATCCTAGTACATGGACTTTGTGGATCAGATGATGCTGGAAGAAAGACGTAGATGTCTTGGCCGGGTTCGCACTAGACCAACCTAAAATATCCAGACGATCCCCGACGAAGGCTTGGCCTTCTTCCTAGCTGCAAACCCTAGTTAGCGATAGGTTATGAGGTGAAATTTTGGGTGATTTGGGGTTTTTGCTTGAAGACACCATCAATGAAGGACGAAAGGATTTGGGAGAATTTTTAAATTGATAAGTGAAAAAGTTTGAGCCCTTTTTTAGTAGTTTGAGGGTTTTGGTAGGATGAGAAATGAAGGTCTGGGGTCATATACATAAGCGTTGCATTGTGGAGTCACCTAGCCATTGAATACGATCCGACCCACTTTGAAATTAGCAAATCTGATGGTTAGAATTAGTAAGGAATATTAGAGGCAATTTCTCGTTTTCGTGTACATGCAACAAATGCAAACGCCTTATGATTCCAAACTTCATGGCACGTTCAAGATCCCACATTTGAATCCAAAGCGCCTCTACTTCATGGCCTAGAGTCGAATTAACATACAAAGTTAGAAGACCAAACGGTATGTATTCCAACTTACTCCAAAAGGCATGGCTTTTGGTTAACTATCCATCTTCAAGGGGAACAAGTTGCCTTTCAGATGCAAGGGTTGGGGTAATTGTGGGACCGTGATTTTTCAAGGCCGAAGTAAAGTTGATCCAAATATAATTACCTCGGAAGTCCATTATGGACTCATCAACTTCAAGTGGAGCTAGATCAGACGGAGTAGTGGTGCCACCATCATCCTGCTCTAGGGCAATAGGCGAAGTCCGAGCGACTATGTTAAGATGACCATGCTTGCTCCGCAAGTTACGCGATTAGATCCGGACATAGACTTAATCATATCCTTATAAGTCTTGGAGTTCCTACATCTAAGAATTGGCATGCGGTGCAAGTAATCACAACTACTAAGAGGGTGCAATATCTACTTCTAGATATCCTCTAGGATTCTCCCGGTTTAGAACAAGGAATATATCCTAAAAAAGCCTCTTTCCACACAGTATAAATACACCTATCTAGTGTTCATCTCTAGTAACACAATCTCCATACGCTAATTCTCTTGCGCACTACGTGAGTTAAAATAGTTCACTAACTTGACTATCGGAGAGCTTTTGGCCTGGCACATCCCCACACATCCCCACCCCCACCCCACCCTTACCCCAACTCAGTCTTGGGCTTGCTCACGATTGTCTATTGTTTTACAGGTAGGTGAGTTTATGCATTTCCTCCATATACAGTGATGCGCAAATTTGGTTCCAACAGGTCATTCTCTCTTGATCGCTTCTTCACACCCAACATCCCTTCTTCGAGAGAAGAATGACGATTTCTTCCTTTTGTGTAACCGCACCTCTTTGCGTTCTTGTATCCTTGCATTGCCGACCAGAACAATATCAAACCAAGTGCAATACCATCCAATGTAATACTCAGATAAACAAAAGAAAGATGGAGAGAGAAAAATAACCCCAAGGCTACAACACCTTGATGTTATGTCATTGCTTTCACAACACTCAAAACTGCTCTTCCTGGTTGCACACACCAATTCTTTAAGGTTTGTGCTTTGTGTTGCGCTCAGTTTATAATCTGTATTTGAAGATCAAGGTTCTAAAAGACATTGGGCGCTAGTCAGGCAGCGGGCTGGGGCCTAACCCCTTGGCGGCTAGGCGGGATCTAAGCGAGGCCTAGGTGTATTTAAGTAAATCTATTATATATCTTACAAATAAGTGTTTGCTTATACTTTAAAAAAAAAAAAAAAAGACATAATTGTATTAGGATACATAAATTGCAAAATAAAATGACTTATATATTATAAAGTATTAGAACATATTGAAAACAAGGGACCAAGTATATAATGAGCGCTCATTCAAGTATTCAACAAATCTCTTGAAATATATTGAAAAAAGAAAATGCAAGTTATCTACTTTTTATTTAAGTGAGACTTGCGACCTAGGTGGGTCTAGATGAGCTCCTAAGCAAATCTTGACACTCTTTCTTAAGTTTCAAACACCTAGAGATTATTGGGATGGTGGCTAGCCGCCGAACATCTAGGCGGTGCCTAGGCAACGCTAGACGGGAATTTTTAGAACAATGCCGAAGATATCATCTGTTTGTGGGGAATAATGTATCTGAAAATATCGTCCAGTAGCAGATGCCCGGATGGAAATTATACAAGCCTTTTGAAGCAGCAATCCGCGCTAGAGCGACTCTTACAAGGTCCTAAATCAACCTCTTCAGAAAAGTTAGCAAACATCATCTTATACACATTGTAAAGACATCATATGACATTTTTATTTGGTTACAATAACCACTCAAGATTAATGTTACAAAACCAACATTTAAAAGTTTATATCGGATCTGAAAAGAGCAAAAACGAGAGCCGAAATGCCAACTCCAAGAGAAGAAAAATGTCAAAACACTAACACCAAATGAATAAACAAAATTTTGATCCCGCTACAGAATGCTTTTCCTCAAAATTTCACATTGGTTATACTGTCTACGTAAGTTATCAAATTTACTGAGAATGATGATGAGCATAATACACCATTCCGGGTGGCTGAAGTGGCCGGAAACTAGGAGCAGGAGGAGGCTGCTGAGTTGAGGGTATTGGTTGCTGCTGGCTAATTTGTACAGGTTGCTGATTCATTTGCAATGGCTGCTGAGCCAAAGGCACCATTGATGTCACCATATGAGGTGGGCGAGGTGGTGGCCCTAGAGGCAAAGGTGGAATGCTACCGTAAACATATGGGCTCATGGCCCCTCCTGATGGCTGTAAATATTGTTGGGAGGGTGGGTTTGGAAGCATGTGAAATTGACCTTGAGAGGTTGGGGCTTGATTCTGCAGTTGGGGAACCAATGCTGATTGGTACGAATGGCTTGGCTGCACAGAAGGCGCTTGTGATGACATAAAAACATTGGCATCTGATACGGGCATGGACCTCTCAGGTTTGGATATTGATTCAGCGCCCGAACTCTGGGGCATAGACGTGGAGGGCTTTGTCAGACCAGCATTCTTCGCTTCTTCAGCTGCAAATGTTGAAAGAACTGAAGTCATAATCGATTGAGAAGAACTAGAAGCAGCAAGCTTGTCAGCAACCAAAGCTGCAATGGCTGCAGCTGATTTCCTAGGTGTTTGTCCGCCTTTAGAATTTGCATCAGTCAATGGACTGGTCGCACTTGATTGTTTAAACAGATAATCATCATCATTGAGCCGCTTCCGCATGTTGGTGGCTTCTTCTACCTGTGCCTGTGCTACCTACACTCATCAAAACATAACATATCAACTTCACAGTTAGATGATACACTGCACTATTGTTATAATTACAAAGCTAAACAATGGTGTTCCAGATCTCTGTACCGACTGCAAACAGTGACTTTGAGAGAGACCCGTGTTCTAAATATTTTGGCAGAATACAACAAAGCCCACGTGTAAAATTATTTCAACATCAAATAAACTGAGGGCACAAAAGATAGCACGCTTTGAAGGAATTACTACATCAGCATGTCAACCATCTTGATTTACTGGATGGTTTTCATGACCTCATAATCACAATCAAGGTACTGAAAACTAGCCTGAGATCGGTGCAAAGCTTGCTAACACGATATATAAGAGAACTTCCACGAATGGGAATTGAATGCATCTATTACCACAAAGTTCACTGAAAACTTGACATGATACAATCAGACCAGGCCAGCTAGAAACGACCCAATTGGGTAACTTCCAAGTCCAAAGGAATTGAGGCCCAGTTGGTAAGAAATAGACTACAGAATTAGATAGTGGGGATTAGATATGCATTTCATGAGTATCGCAAAGGCATGTGAGAAGGATTTACAAATGACTACTTGGAAGGAGTCATTTACAAATCCCTTGTACATGCCTTTGAATTTCTCATGGTGCATTTCTAATCCCCTCTATCTAACATTTTTTAGTCCATTTCCTTGTTAGTTTGGCCTCAACCCCTTGAAACTTGAAAATCCCTCACCCTAACATAGCCTACATCTGTCGCCCATGAATAACTGAACAGGTTGTGATTTGGACAACAAAACAGGTTATGAATTGGAGTATACGACAACAAAGTTCTTTCTCAGAACAGTAACAAGAGTAACAAGAGAGATTATTACGCAAAAAAGTCCTAATGTCAAAATTCTTCTCCATAGTTGATTGCTCTGGAGGGATTTGGTATTGCTCATATTTTGCAAGAGATGCTTACTTATAAATCTGATCATATTAGAGCTCCCCAAGAAATACTTCGTGCTACAATCATTGGAGGAACAAATACGTAAAATTGAGCTCGCCAAGAAATACTTGGTGCTCCAGAATCTTTTCATTGCTCGTCCGAGAACTATGATAACACTTGACAAATCGTTTAAAATTGAAGTCAAGCCATGTACCAGAATAGAAAATTCAAGCAAGGCACTGTAATTGAAAAAGCCGAAAGCCCATTAGAAAGCCACTTTCTTGCACTAGGAAGTGTGACAGTAAAACACTTAATCAAGAATATCTCAGAGACTTCCGGAGATCACAACTCATACTAACCAAATAAACAGTTCCAAAATAAGGATACTGATGAGAGGTTCTATTCTGTTTTCATTTCAGTCTTCTCAGAACTTGCACCTACCTGTGGAAGAGGGCAGTAACTCATTGTGTTTTTCATTTGGGTCTTACGCAGCTCATAAATGAGTCCTAAGCATCCACCCATTTATATTACATCTTAAATGGAGTTAAAATGATCTACTGATTCAGGTCCATGACCTCAACTGGGTCTAGGAATTTTTTGCTGCCGCTTCTTGTAACAGTTTCGTGGTCAAGTGGATGCTACAGTTGCTACCTTGTGACAGACGAGGTTTTATAGCATTCTAAAACATGAAAATACAATGTCCAGCAGATCCATCAAACAATCTCTCAAGAACTACTATACAAGCGATATGCTACACTAAGCAGTGGATTGAAGAGGAAGGCCTTAACCACCAGGGCAATCCACGACTTGCCCTAAAGAATACTATAGAATGGTGATTGAATGGTGAAATTTATAACATCCTAATATTCCCTTCTCTTAAAACTTCTTTTTTTTTTTTTTTTTTTTTTAAGAGTTGAAAAGCAGAAATACAAGGTTTTCAAAAATATAATCATTAGAGGCATACCTGCATATGAGTTCGAATATTCTCCAGTTCAGATTCCTGAAAAAAAAAAGATTCTATTAAGTCAGCAAAAGCATACACCATGAAACAAAGTGTCTTGTTTAAGGAGCACTACATGCTTGCTTATTTGCATGTTTCAATATTGAAAACTTACTCAATAGTTAAAGAAAACAGTGGTATGATTTGATACCTGATCATGCAGAGCTTCTTTTAATTGAGATAAAAGTGCTACTCTACTGGTTTCAACTGATTTAAGTTTATTGATACACTGCTTCAAAATATTTTCCTCCTCCTCTAGTTCTTTCGCTAAAGTTTCCCGCTTTGGATCTTTATCTGAAGATAAAAGAAAATATGCATAAGAAACAACTCTCTTAAAAATCAAAGCAAGACTTCCATTCCCTAATGTAAAAGGATGTAATTTGGAAACAGCTAAAAATATTTCCTGTCAATACTCTAGTTAATACGATAAATGTTAACTGTATAGAATTGTTAGTTTACCATTAGTACAGGCAATGTCAACATCTTTCTCCAACTTCCTTACACGGTGAGCTGCAAACTTGCATTTACTCATCTCGGCATCTTCAGTGGGATGTTCACTGATCACCAAGTGAAATGCGGATACAATCTTCTCAGCTGGACCTCCAATAGAAAGTTTCTATTTTCCAAATAACACAAAGTTAGAAATCTCTAGACAAAAATAAGTACAAATGTACAAGATAAATACGTATCAAATTGAGCAAAGACTTTTTTCAACAGAGATGGTCGTCCAAAAGAAATAAAATGAAGCAAAATGAGAAAAGTAAGTGAAGGCCCTTTTTCTCACCGTTCTGATAGAGCGTGAATCTCTTTTTACAATTCTGACTGAACGAGGGCGCTTTTTGCCAATGAATTCCAATGGTGGAGGCACTTCTTCCTCAAGCATTACTTCTTTTAGGCTCCTTGCACGAGACCCAAATACTCGTCTCTCTTCCCAAATACCAACCTAGCAATTTTGTAAGCAACAACAAAGTTAAGCCATTCTGCTTTACAACTTAAAAGAGAATAATAAACCAGTTGGTAAAAAATTCTTAAATTGGTTCACATGATTAACATACCATTCCTTGGATCACGTAAGGAGGAAGGGAAGATGATTTAAAAGAGAATAGTGACCAAACCTAATACCCAACTCCAAATTCCTCGGAAATTTAATTTTCATTTACAGCTACAGGTCATGCTAGCAGTAGCTGGATTGCTTATATGAAACTAAATAAAAGGAGGGACTTACCAATCTAGATACAACATTCTTTCCATGATTATCGCCTTCGTCGTGAACAACTTTGAGAGCTGCTGGAAGAACCTTCCAAAACTCAGTAACAAATTCATTTCCTTTCCGCTTACTGTTCTGCAGGATGTCATTTGCAAGATACAAGAGAGGAACTTTCTGAACCATCTGTGCACTACGGAATTGTTTATCCCATGTTGCAACAACCAGTTCTGCTTTGCTCCGGTGAAATATACACCAATGTGACAAAGCTTATTAGAAAGTCAAGGCAACACAGACAGTAAACATCATTTCCTCAGAATGCATACAAGATAACAAGAAATATAAACCTGGACATTGTTCTAACTCATCCTTCAAAAAAGTTACAGAAAGAAAAGTACTTTAATCAAATCAACAGTATATACATTTTCTCACAACTCATTTCATCCTTGCTACTGAAGTCATCATCCCACTAAGCTTGAGAGGCTAGTTAATGATACTGATAGAGTTAACTGAATGGTTGTGTGCCTGCTTTGTCTTGAGTATCAAACCATCTCGTTGAACCATTGAACCACTTGACGGTGGAGTAGCAATAAATTTGGGAAAACAATCCCTATTCGGTTTCATAGCAGCATCACAGAATTTCGTATCAGCTATTGTTTACGTTTCAAACTTTAGAAAAACTACGTCGAGAGAGAGAGAATTCGAATTCAATCCCCATCAAGCAAGCATAACCCAAACAGAAAACCAGATAACCCAAACTACCAATTACATCACATATGCTACTTCATCAATTAGATCAAATAACGAGCAAGTATCATCCAGAGAAAATTAAAAGAGCATTGCGAAATCTTCGGAAAAAAATAAATAAATAAATAAAAAGATAAAAAAGGATACTTTCAATGCATTGCTGGGTGCTGTTGAGCTTGGAGAGCTTGTCTGCAAGTATCTGCTCAGTGAATACACTATTCATATCCTATTCCAACAATGCACTTTTCACCACCCACCCCTCCAACAATTTATACTAAACAGAACACCCAAAAACCATTCGAAAAAGATAAAACCTTTGCAGAAAATTCAGAAAAACCCCACAATTTTTCAACTTAAACCCTAAAACCGACGACGAAACAGCTCCAGTTAGCGGAAGGCAGCAAGAGGATTGGAACAAATGTAGAGAAAGAGAGAATCAGAGTTGAGAGTAGTTGAACTGGGGAATACGACCACCTTGAGCAAATTACAGAATCACGAATTTGTAAGGGAGGTTAAAGTGGATATGATTTAAAGAGAAGAATTGCTGAATTTGCAAAACCCTAGAAACGGTTTTCTATATTTCAGTTGCAGGGGCCCAAGCCAGAAGAATGAGGGAAGAACTGAGGTTCTGTCTCTAACTGCTACTTGCAAATATGCTGTGGGTATAGTGGTATTCGTGAAAAGCTTTTAAATTTAATTTGCACCATAAACGAATTTGAATCATATTTTTGCTAAGGTATTATGAGATTTAGTTTACAATCTCATTCTTTTTATGTAAAATATCGTTTAATCAGAAGGGAAAGAAAAAAAACAAATCTCCTACTTGCTTAGATTTAAATATTTATTTATTTTAATTTATAAGTCGGAAGTTTTGAATTTAAATTATGTAAATGAAAGTTCGAACTAATTTAGTAAATATATTTTAAAAGAAATCACTAATTATGAGAAAATGGAAAATAAAAGACCAGAGGCTGTTAAACAGTTTCTGATCTGGCAGTCTTACCTGTTGGAATAAAATGGAATGGACTACCATTTTAGGAACCAGGATTCTCGCCGGATCCATTTCCTAGGGATCACGCAATTGTATTCGTTTATCGTATATCGTGCGGTCAATTTTCATTAGGTACTATTTATATTTGAATTTTAAATTTTAAATTTTAAATGATTTCTAACTAACCGCACGATATACGATGAACGGACACGATTGCGTGATCCCTAGGATCCCTAGGGAATGGATCCCGCGAGGATCCTGGTTCCCATTTTAGCGAGGTTCAATTGTTATTTGAGGGACTGTAAACACGGAAATTCCTGAAACAAGAACACGTGTACAAAATAATATTTTGTATTGATTTTGGGGTTACAATCTCTTTTACAATTTGATCCTCTAATTCTATCTTTGTAAAATGTAGATATGCGGATGGGTTGTTGATCCAAAGGGTCGTCGGGGCTTGGTCTAGGGATGAACAGTTATGCGGATTTATTAATGTTGTTGATCCAAAGGGCCGTCATGGCTTGATCTTAGGATGAACAGTTGATGAACGGATCTTCAAGGGCTTTTGGGTTTGAGCTTGAAGAACGGGGTCAGGATTTGTTGATGTTGTTGATCCAAATGGCCATTAGGGCTTGATCTTAGAATGAACAATCGATGTTGTTGATCCAAAGGGCTGTCGGGGCTTGATCTTATGATGAACGGTTGTGTAGATTTATTGATGTTGTTGATCCAAAGGGTCATCGAGGCTTGATCTTAGGATGAACGGTTGATGAACGGATCTTCAAGGGCTTTTGGGCTTGATCTTGAAGAACGGGTGTGTGGATTTGTTAATGTTGTTGATCCTAGGATGAACAATGAACACTTTCTTCAAGGGCCGTTGGGGCTTGATCTTAGGATGAACGATGAATACTTTCTTCAAGGGCTGTTGGGGCTTGATCTTAAAGGAGGATTTGACGAAAAACAAAGAGGGCTTTCTTGATCCTTCAGGATTTGCTTGAGAGCTTTAGAGTTTCAAAGCTTTAAGGTTTTGGTGTGATGTGAATTGGTGAAATGAAGTGAATGAAATTGGCTTCTATTTATAGAAAATTTCAAGGCCCATTTTTGAATAAATATTCAGATGAAATAAATCATTTCTGACAGGTGCTGACATATGTCCTATTTGATGACTTTTTCCGATTTATTTCGATTTTTCGTTGAGTCACACACTATGTGTAAAATTTATGTGACACGTGAGCGTTGAAATTTTAATTATTGGTCAACATTCATTTCACTGAAATTTTGATGTCTACAGGGACATTTCTGCGAGCGCACAGAGCAATGCAAGGTGATTTCAATGGTTAATTTTGAAGTCTTTAGCCGTGTTACAATCCACGGTAGTGGTGAATTGACTTGGGGTATCAAGTCTTTTTATTTTCAAGTTACTGTATTCTAAATTCAAATTTTTGCCTTTTCACAATTTGAATGAATTTAGTTTATTCTATCATCATTTGTCTAAAAATAAAAAAATAATAATCACTTGCTACAATACCATAAAAGGATTTTTTTTTTCTTTTTTTTTTTTTTTTTGGGTAACGCACCGTTAAACTCTATTTAATCGTACTTTACCCCCTGAAACTCATTTTGCGTTACTTTCTCTTTCAAACTCAATTTTCGCATTACTTGGTGAATTGATGTGAAATGTCAAAATGGCACAAAAATTGAGTTTATGAAGGCAAAGTTGTGCAAAATGAATTTCAATGAGCAACGTAAGATTAAAGTTGAGTTTCAAGGGATTAACAAAAACTAAGCCGAAAAGAAATTAGAGCTCGTTTAAATGTGCTTTTAAAATGACTGAAAACGCTTTTAGTGAAAATATTTTTTAAAACAATTCTTAGTAAAAATGCTAATAAATCCTTAAAAAACACTTAAAGTGCTTCCTAAAAGAAGCACTGGTGCTTCTTGTAAAAAGCAATTTAAAAGTTTTTGGAATTCAAAAATATTTTCTCTAAAAACGCTTTATGTCATTTCAAAAGTACATCCAAACAATGTTTCACTCTAAAAGCCAATTGTCGCTTTATGGTTATTAGACTTCCGCAAAGACAATGGACTTCCAAAGATTCAAGATTCTCATATTGTAAACTTTCATGGACTTTTATAAACATGTCGATTCATATTTTTTAACAAAGTTGATTGGACAACTGCAAATGAAATTATGGCAAAAAGGTTAGGATTGAGGAGTAATTTTTCGGTGTACCCGGCACACCAAATTTTTTTGGTGTACCCTCACTCATAATGGTGAGGGTGCACCAAAAAAATTTGGTGCACCCTCACTTTTTGTACTCCAAAAAAATTCTAATGAGTGAGGGTACACCAAAAAAATTTGGTGTACCCGGTACACCTAAAAATTTTTCAGGATTGAGAACTAGCAGAACCAAAACCAAGTCGGTTCGATTCAATTTGGGTTCTTTCTAAAACTTTTTATTTTTAAAATTGATTCGGACCAGGAATGTGTCATCCATCATTCAGCTCACAAATTTGGAGGTGAACCAGGCCACATAGAACTGTGCCCACTCAGAAAAATAAATAAATAAATAAATAAATAAGGGAAAGTGAGAAATCGGTAAATGGTACGCTGGTACATAATTCAAAAAAGTAGGGTTCTTAAATTATGAATTCATTTAACATTCTAAAAACGCTTTTTATATTAACACTCCATAAAATGTTGAATCCATCCCACATTAAAATTTAATATTAAATAACTTATTTGCCCCACTATGCAATGGCAATTTTGACCTTATTAGGTTTTAAAAAAAAATTCTAAATACAACTCAAATCACTTTTAACGTATCATTTATCTTCTTTAACTATCAAAACCCCTCTGACCCTCCATTGTTAAACAAACCAATGAAACAACAAACATGTTGATTGAGAAAAATTAATTTTGACGAATGAAACATGAAATCGATGTTTCAGAAAATTCACATGAGGTAAAACTTCATATATTTTTTTTTATTGTTTTAGTGATTTTGATGACATCGATAATTATTTAATCTTGCTTTTGCTGCGTTATTCAAGCTTTTACATTCGTATTCATCTTTTAGGGATCACATGGATTACATGAAGAATTAAATACTTAAAATTACCACCAAATATTAAAAACAGACGACGTGAATTTTAATGGTGGAATTGAAAACAACCCACATATGCTTTAAATTCCCATGCAACATCTTCTATCAAAATTCCATTCGATATTTTTATTCCAAATTAAAAGCTTTATATGATTTGAGAAATGTGGGGTGTATAAAAAATGTGGGGTGCATGTAAAAAATGTAAGATGTATATTGAAAATGTGGGGTCTGAGAGTATTATGGGGAAGTATGTGGAGTGTAGTGAGATAATTTTTAATTGAAAAAGCAAATGTGGGGTGTATTAAGTATATGGGGTTTATTCAACAATTTGTAAGATGTTAATATAATAAAAAATCTAAAAGGACATACACGTGTCAACTAAGCAAAGAGTAACCGATGCTAATTGTCTTCTCTATATCTATGTAGAGAAAGCCAATTAAACATTTATAATATCAAAAAATACCCCTCTCTTCTTATCTCTTCTACATCTCTTCTTTATATCAGCATCCTATAATGGTGAAGCATTCAAATATCCTGAAAGTACCCCCATTTAATTATCAACATAGAAGTTGCCAAATAAAATAAGGTTAAAATCGTCAAATGAACACAATAAAAAATCATGAGTCACTCCTCTGAGACAATGTTTGACACACTCCGACCCGGAATATCTGCTAGGACTTCAAATCAAGCTGTGCTGGGCGACACTTGGAAGGTAACGAAGCTATAAAGTGTAGTGATGTGGAAAATATGAATAAATTTAAACCTAAAAGTGCCTAAGTATAAGAGTGCACTGTGAAGTAAAATAGGGTGAGAAATTATACCATTGAAGGTAACTGTCTACCCCAAGATTTGCCAAGAATCCTCGTCAACACAAGGGTACAGCTACTAAACTTGGAGGGGCGAAAAACAAGGGTGAGTGGGTCTGAAAATAAAGTTTTAATTAAAAACTTTTTGAAAACGTTATAATCCCTTGTTGTAAAACATGTATAGTTTCCAAAATATACATACTACGCATAGTATGAAAATACCTACCGTAGCCTACAAAACGTAAATAAGGCATGATATCCCAAAATCTCAACAACAATATAAGTAAAATCAGGTGCTCAACAACCTACGCTAGCACACCAATCGAAGTCGCCTAATGCGACCTGTACGACTAAACCTATTGCTCATCAATCTATGCTAACACACGAGTCGGAGTCGCCTAGTGCGACCTGTACAACAGGACTGGGTGTAATAGTATACGCTTTAGTGCTATGATCACGTGAAGACTAACAATAATTACGGTTACCTACGAGTCGGAGTCGCCTAATGTGACCTGTACGACAAGACTGGCACCTACTTGGATCCACGACGAGTGTGTGGTGTTGAACATCACGTGAAGGACTGGCCCTGGCCTGGGGCGAGAGCACTAACACGGGGGTGTAGCAATGATTAGCGGACTACATGAATATAAGTATGCCATAATGATTCAATAATTCTAATCAACATAATAAACTTACTTGCGCATCCCGTAGGATTATTTTGGCATTTCACAACAATGCAACATTTCTTATAACATCATTTAATCATGGCATCAAAGATTATATGAATACATGTGCATTCCATAGGATTTATGATAACTTCATAATTTTCCGTTATTTCGCTAATTCTTATAAACTTTAGTCTAATCAAAGCGTACGTAAGAAATTCTTTTCCAAATGCATAAATGGAAACTATCAATCATATATATATACTATAAAAAGGAAAAGACTCGCTCATTTGAAGTCCGCGCTACAACTCCCTAGCACGAATATCAAGGCATTACGAACAATCGTCGCCTAGAACAATTATCAAATCACATCTCACAATTCTTATCAATAGAACACGTAACTTACATAAAACACATCCCCAAGAACATTCTAGAATGATTTAAAACCCATTGACCAAAAATCAACCATCGGTCAAAGGTCAACGATAGGGTCCACAACCCTACGTAACTCGATCCGGAAGATCCGAACCTCAGATTTCAGATCTGTAACTTCCAAAGATCCACATTATGCTTCTAGAACATCATACTAAAGTTTCATTATGATCCAACGGTTGGATCTTCACCACTTGCAAATTCAAGTGGAGCTCAACATTTTATTTTACGAGCTTACAAATTCAATTCCGAAAGATCCGTACTTCGGAATCTCAATCCGTAAGTTTCTAATATCCTAAAATATTACGTACTATAACATATTAAAGTTTGGTGACGATCCAACGGTTGGATCATCGATTCAATCAATATCCAAGTGGCGGTCTCTATCAAAACTATAGTCTTACGACGAGATTTTGTCAATCAAACTCCACATATGAAGTCAGAGTAACCAAATTAGTCTAGGAAAGGCAGGTGAGGCCTCAGCCCACGCATCGTTGGATGCAACGGCCGGCCACCCGGGCTCGTCGGAAAATTCAACTATTTTTAAAAATTATCAAATTTTATAGGAATGAAGATCTCAACGAGTACAGCAAGTTGATTACATGTGGCCAAGTCTAATTTGGCCGAAAAAAGCCCCAAATCGTCCTCGAACTGTCACCCTAGAAAGGGTGGAATTCGATTTGACTCCATTAATGTTCCAACGCCCCTGCTAGTGTTTGGGCCTTGCTCTTGGTCTCAAGGGGAGTCAACTGGTGGTGGTCGAAGGAAATCGTTGCAAGAATAACGGATTCGCCGCTGTGCACCAACGAACCCCATACGATTCGTTCTTCATGATACAAGGCCAAAACCCCATCAATCTTGAGTGTAAAATGGAGAGGGAAGGCCGATGGGGAGTTTATAGGTAGTGCTTTGGTGAAATTCCCCGGAAAAATTGCGAACAATCGCCGGAAAACTCTCCGGGTTGGCGTGGGTTGCAGGGAAGTCCAGATTGGTTCCCCTCCTTCTCCTCTCCTTTCTCTCATTTCCCCTCTCCTGATTGGGCAGTTCCTTCCCCTTCCTCTCCTGATTAGGAAAACCACCTTCATCTTCTCTCCTCCGATTGGGCAGCTCTGCCCAATCCCTTCTCCTAATTCCTTTCTTTTCTCCACTTAGCCACACACATTTGGCATAACAATTTAGTGATATAAAATGATATATATAATTAAAATAGTGATTTCTTCAAAAATACTTTTGAATTCGTAGCTCCGTAAAACTTTAACCATAGCTCTGATTTCGATTCTGCTTGCGCCTACGCGTTTATATTGTTGAGTGCTTCGAGAATAGGCTAAAAGAATATTTTGTACATCTCACTAAACATTGGTCAACAGAAGTCAACGATTTCACCTCTAGGGGCATTTTCGTTAATTCACCCATTTGAAATTAATAAAATCGCAAAATTAGGGACGGGTTGTCACAATGTTTGTATGGATCTTAAGAATGACAATTCTCAATTGTTAGATGAAGCACCACCAGCACTTAGAGAATCATTTTAAACAATACGACCCCGTCGATTAGTCATCCAACTCATGTTTTAATCTCACCACTGAAGCACTCATATTGGAGGATTTAGAGTGAGGGTAGGTATTTTCGTTGCTTGCTAGTTTATTTAGTATTGGCGAAACAAATTTGTTTTTAGCAGGTTTTTGCAATTACCGATGAGGCTATAGTTTCTGTTTGTGCTTATCTTAGTGAATGGTTGAAGATTACTGCTCACAAGCCTGATAAACATCATAGGATTGAATCGTTGCTCCATTGGGAAGCTCCTCTTTCATATTAGTTTAAGCTTGATATTGATGGTTGTAAGAAGAAAAATAATAATTCTATTAGAGCAAGTGGTGCTTTAAAAGATTCTGATGGTACATGTGAGCTTATCACTGATGTACTCTGGGACTATATTTAGACTTACAATTGGCATGGAAATTACAGATTGATATATTACTGTTGTAATCAAATTTTGCACTCACATTTCATTTGGTGATGCAAGCTGCTGGAAATAATCATCATTTCGGTTCCCTTGTTTTGGGATGTTGAGAGTTGCAATCAAGATCTTAGCAATGCGAACCTCGATATGTCAATAGAGAAAAGAATTTTGTGGTGGATAGTTTAGCGAACTATATGCTTTAGATTTAGGCAAATTTTTACTTTGATAATCCTCCTTCTTGTTCAATTAGTTTTGTTCGTGAAAATCAACTTAGGATGTCTCGATCTAAATTTATTATTGAATAGTTTTGACCATAACAGAAAAAAAAAACCGATACATAATGCATCATATAGAGACTAATACTTTCATCATGAATTGCTTATAATAAATAATCAAAAGTAATCAGATTTATTCTTTCGGATCAATTCATCGGTTTCTTTCATAAGGGCTAAAGACAATTAACTTGGATTGAACATAGGAAGATTCAAGACAACGAACTTGGATTGCACAATGAATTCAACCACGTCCTATGAATGAAACATATTAAATTCCTATTTGTAGAATTTCTAGCATAGATATATGCATTTGTTGTACTATATAAATGTATTATACCTAGTGTTTTCACATTCAAGGAAATATAATCCTCCCGAGTTAAATCTTTTTACATGGTACTAGAGCAACTTTTCTGGTGACAAACACAAAATCCAAAAACTATCCGATCTCAGCCACCCACCATGAAGTGTGGAACATGGAACAGAGTCTGACATACTGTAGAGACCTGTCAATCCCACCATGAACGCTCCAATGGGAACAATGTGACAAGCTCTTCGAAGAAGCAAGAATTGGGAAGTTCCATTTCCATTCACTCATAAATTATGGAACATAAATTAATACAGAGAGTTTCTTGATTTCCTTCATAAATTATGTTGAAACATATTTTGCCTTTAAAGTGAAAACTCAAGGAAGTGATGGACAAACCCGGGGTACCGCACCTGTTTTTAGCCCATCGTGTGTTCAGATACATCAAGAGCACATCGGGACAGGGCAATTTCTTATCCTCTACAAGCTCGTTACAATTGAGAGCTTACTGTGATGCAGATTGTTTAATTGAGCAGTTGAATCCCTTCTCTTCAAAGTGAAGCCCCTCGTTACCAGAACCCGTACCCGACAGTTGTAACTCTAACGTAACAAGCACTAACGCCTAAACCAAAATACAAATGTACCGGAAATTAAAGTGCAGACAGCACGCCCCCGATTAACTGTGAGAAAGAACGAAAGAAAGATTTGATCCAATAAAGTAGACTCCCATCAGTTCAACTAAAGTGAAGTTGGAACGCCAAGATACAAATGGGTCCACAAAGCCAATAAACAAGGCTCCCAGTTTAGAAAGTTTCTACTGGTACTCTAAACATAAAAACTAACCCCCAACATAATAGAGCAGACTTCATAAAAACCAAAATCCATTAACGATGCAATTGCATGACATTTCCTACATCTAACATGCTGACCGACTGTCCCGAAAGAGAATCTGAACACCAGCCATGATTGGATTGTGGCATGTTCCTACTGCTTGATGTTTCTTCCCTGTTGTGCTGAAAGTTTTTCGGCCACTTGTTCATCTGACAAAGGCAAGTAATAGATTCGAGGAGTTGACTTGGTTTTCCGAAACAGATCATCCAGGGTGACAATTGGAAGATCATGCTTCTCCGGTAAAGGAGGTGGGGGAGGCAGAGGAAGCCGCTCTCTTGCTAGGGGAGCTGTAGGCAAGGGTGGTGGAGGAGGGAGAGAAGGAGGTGGTGGAAGCTGCTGCTGCTGCTGCTGCCTAGGTTGACGGGGAGAAGGCTGCAGCTGCAAGGTGGTCGGGGCAGCAGGAACAGAAGGACCACTGGCGACAGGTGGAGCAGGAGTCTGAGAAACCTGAAGCCGTGTTTGCACTTCCTGGGGATCAACAAACTCGGCCGCTAAGAGGCGCCCACCATTGGGAGGCCACTGTAAGTTATACACAGCATTCCGTGTCTCCAAGGCTTCTTCCACTGATGAATACTGCATCACAACAGTAATACCCAAAGTAAGGGATGAGTTTCATTTAATTTAGAAACTAAGCAGAAACAGACGGTAAAAGCATAGTTCCAAACAAGCAAATCCAGTGGGTACAGAGAGAGAGATATTACAGTAACATAGCAATGAGTTTTGATGTGGTCCATCCAGAAATCAGTTACGGACCCAGTTTTTCCTAGAAGTTCTTGCACAGCTTTCAGGGTGAAAGGTCGCAGAAAACGATCAATTCTCAGAGAATTAGTTGGAGCCTTCTGTGATGGTGGAACTACAACAAATAGAGATATACAGCATCAAAACATGTGTTGATACACATTTCCATACTAACTAAAGACCAATGACTCACCAACACGTTCCTTGGGAGCATCCTCACTCATAGTATAGTTTGACCTCGAAAAGTTACGCTTCAAACCGGTGGTCTGGAAAGTTTCCTTGGGTGTGACAGTCAGCGTTTGAATAGGGCTTTGGAGCTCTGGAACTTTAAGACTTTCAGAGTTCCACCTACGCTTTTTTATAGGCTCATTGCTTCCAAATGCTGCTTGATCTGCAAGGGAATTTATCCGATCAAAAGGCCATAACTGATTATTTAAAAGGAACGGAAAGAAGAGAAAAAACTGAAGCGCAGAGCCCAGCAATATCATGTGAAACTAATACAAGATCCATGCCAATCTGAGGAATGCAAAACAATCAAGCTTAAATTGTTGATACAGCGAGCAAAGCAAGAATATGCACAAAACAGAAAGCAAAAATAAAACTGTAACTAGAAAGTAGCTACAGCCCTATTATAGAATAATTAAAAGACTGCCCATCAAACCTTGATTTCTAAAGGAAAATCAATGTAAATTTAGAAACTGATCAAAGTCATCAAGATTAGTTGCTACACACAAAGTGGTATGTTCCTCTTACATACTGTAATAATGCCTCTTACTTATTCCCAAAACACACTTTCAAAAGAGTATTCCAAGTTCCTATAAAACATTGATATCAACCTCATCTTTCTAGGTATTCCAAGATCCTGCGTTTTTTCTTTTTGAAAAGAAGTAATCCATGACCCTAGTTATTAAATTTAGAAATAGCTAGAACAATTTCATTAAACGTCATCACTGGGTTTCATCAAGCCCTCCCCTCGGAGGTTAATTTGTTCTCTGAAATAAGTGATACAATTCATAAGTTTCATGCAATCCAACTAAAGCAGTTCTCATAGCAACTTAGTAGTGTAACAAATGGGTTGAAAAAATATAAATAATCAAGAAACTCCAGATGTAATGCTCACCATTAAGCTTTCTTTTCTCAGCAGGAGCAGTATGATTCTTGATCTCAACATTTTCATCCATTTTGTCCGGGGAAATATCATCTCCCACAATACCAACATGACTTTCCTCTTTCACAAAGGGAACATCATTTTTCTCACCCATATCTCCCACATCGTCAGGATTATACTTTGAATAAATTTGTTTACTGTCCTGCACATCTTCCTCCATAGAATCATCTCCAGAACTTCTCTCTAAATTTAATTTTTCTGAATACCCCACATCGGCACTATCATTTTTCTTACTTATGTCAGCATTCATATCATTGTTGTCATCTTTCTCTCCAACAGAAGCTTTGTCATCGTGTGGCTCTTCAACATCCATTGGATGTGAATCACCACTGACTGGGACAACAGTACTGGATGATGGGTCCACCATCTCCGGCTTAACATCTAATTCTAATTTGACATGATCAGCAATTATATTATCCTTTAGTTCAATCTTTTCATTAATTGACACAGAATCAGTAGAAATACAATCATATTTTACTTCATACCCTAAATGGCTGACCTCAGATACCTGGTAGTTTGGAGCAGAAGAGTCGACCATCACATCCTTGGCTGTAGGCTCTAATTCCTCTTTCTCCAGTTGGGGCTTTGAATCATCAACCTCCAGTTGGGGCTTTGAATCCTCATCCTCCAGGTGGGCCTTAGGATCAACATTCTCCAGCTGGAGATTTGGATACTCACTCTCCAGCTCGGGCACTGGATCCTCATTCTCAAGATAGGGCTCTGGATCCTCGTTCTCCAGCTGAGGCTTTGGATCCTCATTCTCTACTACGGGCCTTGGATCCTCATTCTCCCCTAGGGACTTTGGAATCTCATTGTCAAATAGGGGCTCTGAATTCCCATTTCCCTTATTAGCTTCAGTGTTCTGTGAATTATCACCAACTACTGCTGCCTCAGCCACCAGAGTCTCAGTGACCCTAACACTGGTTTCCACAATAGTAGATTGAACAACAGGCTCCTCTTCAGCTATGGCACCAGCATCTTTATCAACCAGAACATAACCTTCTTGAATGCTCCCTTGATCCAAGTTTCTAGCGCTGTCATTAGTGTCAACCTGAACTGGCAAATCAACTTTTTCAGTCCTTTTACGCCCACCAGAACCAGTGCTTCTAGGTGTCTTAGGAAGAACTGCAAATGGCTCTACAACTTTTTCACCATAAAGTCCATTATCCTCAGTCAATGCATTTCCCCTTTCAATTCGTATTGCTTCATCTAAGCGTTTTACCAAATCATCCTTCAAACCCTTGGTCGTCAAACTTCGCTTCTTAAGCTCCTCCTTTAATTCTGTAACCTTCAAAAGATTGATTGGTCGGTTGCCAAGACTCGGATATTGATATGACATCTTCCTACTAAAAACTCACTTCAATCCTGATTTAAGAAAAATACATTTTTAAAAAATAAATAATGCTACCAAAATCAGCAACAAAAGCAAGGCCCACCACAACAAATAAAAGGACCTTGGTAATACATAAACAAGAAAAAGCAGCTACCAAATGCCAATATAGAGAACTCAGATAAAAAAAATGCCAATATAGCTCAGTCAAATACTGCTTCAATTTAACAAAGCTAACTTAAATAACGGTAATAGAATACAAATATTTTAAAACCCCATTACAATCAGAAAACAAATATGTACGTCTCTGAACACTCTGCATACCATATGTTTCCTATTAAATAACTATTCAAATTCTTTTACAATTGAGCCCTTAAGGAAAAACAAAAACAAAAATTCTCCATGAAAACAATTCATAATCTTATTAAAAAAAAACGACGAGATAATATATTTGACTTATTCTAATCAACTAATACGAAGCAAATAGAGCCAACTTTGAACTGGTTAAAAGTTGAATAAACTTCACATTGGGGAAAAAAAAAAAATTAAAAATAACAATAGTTCCAGATTCTGCAGACTTCCATTAAAATAAAGATAACGAACAAAAGATATCGTAGTAAAAATTAATAATGCAATTCCTGCAAGAATAATACTTGAAAGTTGAAGCTAACTAAATTATTAGCTTATACTCAATGAGAAAATAATGTAATCATATAATATGACACTGTGGACTCAAAATTTTGTGCAAATCGAACCAAACAGAAAAACAGAAACCCTAGTTGCGAAATCGCATTGCAGGGGAACGAAAAGGTAAAGTAAGTAAGGAGACTTACAGGAACGAATGCTTAATCGGCAGCCACGACAAAACAATCAAAAGGCCCACAAAAAAGGGGAGTGGACAAATTGAAAACCCTAATTTGAAAACACAAAACCCACCATTAGAGAAAGCATCAGCATCTATGAAGAAGCAAACCCAGAAAACAGAAGAGAAAGCTAAATCCGAATAGAGCTTCTCCCAATTGGAACAAAGAGACCCAGTGCTGGAGTCGGTGTTCGTTGTTTCCTGAAAACAACCAAAACAAAAACCAAAATCCAAAAAAAATAAAAAAGAAAATGTAAAAACAAGTATGTGAGAGAGAAAACGGAAACAAGAAAAATGCTTTCTTCCTAATTTCTCTTTTGATTCGGGAAATTTGGGTGTCTTCTCAGAATTTGGGATTTCTAGGGTTCCTTCCTATCCATCTATTTTGCTCGTTTAGATTTCTTCTTTGTTTCTCTCTGTTTGAGACGACGAGACGAAGTGGGTTTCTTCTAAAAATACGATATTTTTGTTATTGATTTTCCGTAAATACCCTTCCCGCAAATCCTTTGTGGCGGAAGCCCGGGGATCCGATTGGATGGGTAACGATGCTGAAGTGGCAGAACTCAGGCCCATTAGGCCCGTCAAACAGATGAGAGAGAAACATTTCGATGCGACTAACTTTTAAGGGCGACTATCCCATCGACACATGATGTTATTAATTTAAACTGAAGATGTTAACAATTTAGAATAGATGATTATATTTATTGACACACCAATCCTGCTCTCCTTAGGTCTTCATTTTGAGAACCTGTGAGGACCAAATGCATATTAATCATGTTAGAAACAAAATTTGGGCACCGCCGCGGATGGTGGAGGCTCAAACACAAGCAACCTACAAACAGAGAACAATCGTCAACAAGCCTAAAACCGGAGGGAGGTGTGCCGGCCAAATACTCTTCAACGATCAAGTTAGTAAGCAATTTTTAGACTCAAACAATGGACAAGAGAATTAGAGTATTGAGATTGCGTTACCCGAGACGACCCCTAGACGGGTGTATTTACACCGTGAAGAGAGAGACTTTTTTAGCATATAATCCTTGTTCTAAGCCGGGAGAATCCAAAAGGATATCTAGAAATAGATATTGCACCTTCTTATATGAGTTATGATTACTTGTGTCGCACACCAATTCCCAAATTGCAGGAACTCCAAAGATTAATAAGAATCTAATTGTGTCTATATCCAAATGCGATTGCATGTCTTGTGGAACAAGCATGGTCATCTAGCAGAGTCACTCGGACTTTGCCTATTGCCCCAGAACAGGGTGATGGTGGCATCGTTGCTTCATGTGATCTAGCTTCGCTCAGAGCTGTTGAGTCCATGACCATACTTCTAAGGTAACAGTATTCGAATCATCCTTACTCTAGCCCTAGAAAATTATGTCCCACAATTGCCCTTAACTATGCATCAGAAAGGCAGCTTGTTCCCCTTAAAGATGGATAGTTATCCAAAGACCTTGCCTTTCAGAGTAAGCTAGAATACGTACCGTTTAGTCTTCTTTCTTCGTTTGATGATCTGACTCTTTGAGGTGTAGTGGATACATTTTGGATTCTGACTTGTGACCTCAAATGTCTTGCCATAAATATCATAATGATTGTATTGTGTGGGAACACTTTTCAAAAGGAGGCCATTCATTTCTTTGGGTGACTTCGATCTTCTATGCGCTAGGTAAGTAACGTTTTGTATTCAACAGCTGGATATCCGAGCTTTTGCCTTTAAATAGCCCCTTCTATAGCAGAGCTTCATCAGATATCATTTCTTTATTTGCACCATGAAACTTCCTTCTCTATTTCATAGTTTATTTTCTAAGCCCAGTTCCTTTTTGAACCTTTAATATTTAGGATTCTAAAGCCAAAAAAACCATGTCCTTCAAGCTAATTCTTGCCAAACGAGATTAGGCAAGAATAAGTTAAGTCATAATCCCAAAATAGCATCCTTCACTTCTCACGATTTGTTCCATAACATTCATCTCCATGCAATACCCTCATCGCAGTATTGGTATACGAGTTTAATCTCAACGAAGTGTTAAGATTCTTTGGAGGGTTCTTCATCACTGCTTTCTTCCTCATATTGGGAGTAGATGATGATGACTGAACTTCTGTTGATGATTTCGAACAAGTTTGCTTTATAATTTTTATAGGAAAATTTTCATGTCAGGGGTAAAGGCTTTTCTCCCCCAAGCTGTTGTACTTTGTCGTGCCCTTTTCTTAGACTTTGATGATAAACATGTGTTTGTATAAAATCTCCTTTTTTCTCATTCTCTACTAAAAAATCTTAATCCAATAATTTTTTACGAAGTAAACGAACTTTTAGAGAAAACAAGGAACATAGCAGAATACGAGTAAGTCTGTGGGCCCAGGACAGAGTGCAAAAGCCTTATTGGCATTGGTAATGCTGATTAGGAAAAACATTATCTCCCAAACTTAGTACTCATAAAGCTTCTCACCGCGATTACCAGAGTACCACCTTACTTCGGTACTAGGGATTAAACATTAAACCCATGAAGAATCTTTTACTATGTACTTATCAAAACGCCTTTATCAAATTAAGATATGAGAATTTTGAATTGTACCTAAAATAATATTGTAAAGAACAAAACAATCTTTTTTACCTTGCCCTAGCTCTTGGACCAATGATTTCAATACCTGCAACGTGGCGCCAAGGGAAGGTTTTACATGGTGAATTTGATGCAAAAACTGATCATGAGGTGTTGGAAGTTGTTCATGCTTGTGACAGTTTGCCGAAGCTTGTGCCTAAATAGAGACATGTTTACGAGAGCTTAGGGGAGCCAAAACAACCATTGCAACCATCCAAAGTGTAGCCTCCAAGGCTGGAGCCGAAGCCTTTTCCTAAACACTTGAAAGACATTTAGGAGCTAACTAGATGCTACCAATTATTGTTGTAGTAAATTTAACACATTCTGAAAAGGAAATTTTGATTTGAGTCTTGAGGAAGTATTAAGATATATTGGGCTGGACTATTGCCGACATCAAAGGAATTAGCCTAGCCGTAACATAAAATTCTAATAGAAAAAGGTGTGAAACCAACAGTTGATACTCAACGTCACCTTAATCTAATCATGAAGGAAGTTGTTAGGACAAAAGTGATAAAGTTGTTTGATGCTAGTATGATCTACCCTATTTCTAATAGTCAATGGTTGAGTCCTGCCAGGGTTGAAACCTAAACAGACTGGAATTACAGTGGTCAAAAATGACAATAACGAATTGGTGCCAACACATTTAATTACAGGTTGGCGAATGTGTGTTGGTTATCGAAAGTTAAACGATAGTACAAGGAAATATCATTTCCTACTACCTTTCATTGATCAAAGGTTAGAGAGATTGGTAGGTAGAGCTTTCTACTATTTCTTAGATGGCTATTCAGGATACAATCAGATTCCAATTGCTCTTGAGGACCAAGAAAAGATAACCTTTACTTGCCATTTTCAAACATTTGCATACAGAATGATGTTATTTGGGTTATGCAATGCATTACATGATGAACATATTTTCAGGTTTGGTGGAGCGAGTTGTTGAAGTATTTATGGATGACTTCTCTATATTTGGCAATTATTTTGATCATTGTTTACAAAATCTGCCTTTAGTCCTTGAACAATGCCAAAAGACAAACTTTGTGTTAAATTGGAGAAGAGCACTTTATGGTTAAACATGGGATTGTTCTCGGTCACTTGGTTTCTACCAAAGGCATTGAAGTTATAAGGCTAAAATTGATATTATTACCAAGCTGCCACCCCCTACTTCTGTGAAAATTGTGAGGGTGTTTCTTAGCCATGCTGGGTTTTATCGATTGTTCATCAGGGATTTCTCTCAGATTAGCTAACCTTTATGTATTTTATTGGCTAAGGATGCAACCTTTAACTTTGATGAAACTTGTTTGAAGTCATTCAACAAGTTGAAGATACTTCGCACTTCCAACACCTATTTTTGCAGCACCTGACTAGAGTTTACCATTCAAGTTTATGTGTGATGCATCAGATTATACAATTAAGGTAGTTATTGGATAGTGAAGGGACAAACTCCCATATGTCATTTATGTCATTTATTATGCTTGCCGAACTCTCAATAACACACAGCTCAACTATACAACCACTACGAAAAATTGTTGGTTGTTGCGTTTGCATTGGAGAAGTTTTGTTCGTACATGGTTGGAGCTAAGGTGATTGTTTATACAGACCATGTCGCTTTCAAATATTTGTTGTCTAAAAAGGATGCTAAGCCTTGGTTTATTCGTTAGGTACTTCTACTTCAAGAGTTTGATTTGGAGATTAGAGATAAAAAGGGTAGTGAAAATATTGTGGCTAATCACTTGTCAAGATTAATTCTTTCGATTGTTGCTGAAGAAGATTCACACCCACTGAGTTAAAGCTTTCCATATGAACAACTCTTTACTGCCCACAACAATACACCTTGGTATGTAGACATTATAAATTATTTGGCTAAGGGGGTTGTGCATCCTAATTTCACATTCTAGCAAAAAAAAAAAATTTCTTAGCTAATGTCATTTTTGGGATGAGCCATACTTGTACAAGTATTGCCCAGACCAGATTATTCGTCGTCGTATTCCAGAGATAGAGCACGATGGTTTTTAAAGTTTGCAAATCAACTTATGTGTGGAGGGCATTTTGGTCCTAAAATGACAACAACTAAAATTTTGCAAAATGATTTTTTGGCCTTCTATTTTCAAAGATGCTAACAATTGGTATCAATCTTTTGATTGATGTCAAATAATGGGAAATCAATCCAAGAAATGAGATGCCACAACAAGGTATTTTGGTTGTGGAATTATTAGATGTATGGGGTATGGATTTAATGGGGCCTCTCTCATCATCCAATGTGAATCAATATATTCTTGTGGTTATGGAATACGTTTTTAAATGGGTCGAGACAATTGCAACACCTGCTAATCAGGGATCAGTAATTCTAAAATTCCTCTAGGTAGTAATTTTTTAGCGATTTAGAACACCTAGAGTAATTCTTAGTGACGGAGGAAACACTTTTTGAATAAGTCATTTGTTGCATTGCTCACCAAATATGGGATAACTCAACGCATTGCCATTCCTTATCATCCATAAACATCCGAGTAAGTTGAAGTCTCCAACTAAGAAATTAAGCACATCTTAGAAAAAACAGCCAACTCCACTCACATGGATTGGAGACTGAAATTAAACAATGCTCTTTAGGCTTACAGAACAACATATAAAACACCAATTATTATGTCCCAATTTCTGCTTGTGTATGGTAAGGCATGTCATCTACCTATGAAACTAGAGCATAAGGCTTACTAGGCGATTAAGCAGCTAAATTTTGATTCTGGTTTAGCAGGTGAAAAACGCAAGTTGCAACTGAACGAATTGGAAGAAGTTTGTAATGACGCTTACGAAAGTTCAAGGATTTACAAGGACAAGACTAAGG